GTCCTGGTCGACTTCGCAGCGCGGGCGCTGCATCTCGCCTTGTTTATTCTGCTCGAGTTCCTTGGCAAGGCGCAGCCGCGCCAAGAGGTCGCGCTGGCACGCCGCCCGGGCGCCTCGAGCGCCCTCTTCGGATACGCGGCAGAGGATGACCAGGTGCGTGAACAGGACAGGCAGCGGGATCGCCATGGCGATGACCATCTTCAGGCCCCAGTCCGCGACGTGCGACATGAAGTTCGAGAAGCTGGAGAAGGCCGCGCGGCCCCCCATGATCCCAGCGCTCTGGGCATCGCAGGCGCGGCGGAATTTGCCCTCCAAGGCGCCGCCCCCGCCAGGGGCCTCAATGGCCGGCGCCCTGCCCCAAGCCGGCCGGAAGTCGGTCATCAGGTCCTCGCCCTCGGCGCTGCCGACGCGGGGCCGGCCCGCCCCCCGCGCGGCCTGCCCCGCTGCCTCAAGCTTCAGGGGCGTCTCCTCGGACGGCGCCATGTCCTTCGGAAGGCGCGCGAGATTCGCCTCAGCCAAACGGTCCTTCACCTTGAAGGCGAGGGTCGGCTTGGCCTCTTTGCGCCCAGCCGCGGCCAACTCGCGGGCGGCCTGGGCGAGCCCCGGGCCCCTGCCAAGGCGCGGCGGGCGCGCGCCAAGGTGGCCCCTTTCCATTGGCCTTGCTCTTCGTCGTCGCAAGGCTTCGCGCCTGGCGCGGCGCTCTCCATCGCTGCGGCCCGCGCGAGGCACTCTGAGTAGTCGGGCGGGACCGCGGTGCCAATTTTGTTCCACGAGCACCCTGGCGTTGGCCGCGCATAAAAGCAGAGGGCGGCTTTCCTGCGGGCTTTCGTCGACCGCGCAGACCGTCTGGATCCACTTGGCAGCGCGATCCTTCGCCGAGCCAACGGGCCCCCACCGGGGGCCGCCGCCGCGAGCGACGCAACCGTTTTCGACGGGGCGAGCCCGCGAGCCGGGCACTTGCCACCCCGCCCGGGGCCCAGGCGGACGACGCGGCGCGACGCGGCGCCGCGCGGCGCCTCGCGCCAGAGGCCCAGCGCGAGGCGGCGACGCGGCACCACGCGGCTCCGCCACCGCGCGGCGCGTCGGCACGAAGGCGGGGGCCGCCTTGCAGCCGCGGCGCCCCGAAGCCACAAACCCTGAGGTCGAACAGTTGCAGTGTAATGCGTCTTGCGACAAGTTGAATGTAATGCGACTCAAGACGCATGAAATGCGCCCGTCTTCCCATGAGACACGCAATCACGTTATAAGAGCCAACTTTCACACAACTCAAGTTGACGACGTTACCATATTACAAAAAGCGTCATACTATTCAAATGGCGCGGCCCCGACACAACATCAAGGTTACATTGTGTTGTTGGTGGTGTTGTTGTTCATGTTCTAGTCGTTGTTGGTGGTGTCGCTATTGATCTGGCTGTTTGTGTTCGCGTCTGCGCAGTTGGCATGCGTGGTTGCCTCTGATGGCGCTGAAGGTGCCTATGTTGTTGAAAATGGTGTTATTCTTGCTGTTGTTGTTGTCGTTGGCGTTGCTGCTGTTGTCGATGGTGTCATCGTTTTTGCGCTGCGGCTATCGCTGCTCATAATACGCGCGTTGCTCGCGTTGTCGCCGTTGCCGCTGCGTCGTCACCCCAAGACGGAGGCCGCCAAGATGGCGCAAGGGGGGGGGGGGCAATCCCCCCCCCTTCCCAGAGTCGCCCAGGACGGCTTCCGACGGCGCTCAACCGCCCGAGACTGCCCTAGACAACCCACGACCCCCGCCCCACCCACACACACACACGCACACACACCAAGAACAAACACACAAACAAACAATCAAACAAAACACACGGCAACAACAACCACACACGCAACATACAAACAAAACAATAACAAAACACGACGGTGGCTTGGTCGCAGAAACAACCGCTGGACAACCGCAAGACAACCGCAGGACAACCGCAGGACAACCGCAGGACAACCGCGGGACAACCGCGGGACACCCCTTGAGTTGCGAGCGCGGGTTCCTGGCCTGAGGCCCCCACAGATCCACTTCTCTTTCGCAGATCGTGCCTCAGCACAATCTACGCGCGGGGAAGCCCTGCCCCCCTCCGCCGCGCGGGGAGCCAGCAGCTGCGTCAGATCCCCCATCCACGTTCGCCTTCCCCGCCCCGCCGCGTCCGATCACGCCCGCCCCTGTTCCCCGCGGCCCATCGTCGCCACATTTTTGCCCAAACCTGCATTTCAACGATTCAGCAACCAGTGCTGTTTGCGACGGTTGTCGAGAACGGCCTAGCTGCCAGTCTCAGAGAGGATGCCGCCTGCGCCAGCGTGGAGCGGCACGCGTGATCAGCTGATCGAGATCCCCATGCCGTGCGCCGCGAACTGCACCTTCATCCAGTACCCCGAGAAGGTCAAGGACAAGGTCAACAATGCTGAGGCGGCAAAACATCCAGATATGATTATTGGGCTTTTGGGACTCAGCGACAACCTGCAGTTCTCGCAGACCCAGATGGAATATGCCCTCAAGGTGATTCTCAGGCAGAGGAACATCTACTGGTCGCCAAAGTTGGCTCCCGAGCACCAGACGAATTCTGCGACCACCATTGCGAGGAGGATCAGGGCGATGCTCTCGTACGCGCAGGCTGCCCGCCGCAAGGGGGGCAAATTGGCGCCGGCGCTGCCGCGCCTCGCGAAGGGCGGGAACGGCGGCGAAGGCGACGAGGAGGAGGAGGAGCAGCAAGTCGATCAGGAGGTGTCGGACGACCCGGGCGCCGAAGCGGGCAGTCAGCTCGAGGCCGGCCCCGTCGCAGAGGATCCCGCGAGCGGCGTCGGAGGCGCCCCAGGAGGACGAGTGCCTGAGCGAGGGCGAGGACGACGGCGACATGTGCGGCAAGGACGACGGCGACGCCATCCCTGAGAGCGGCACCCCGAAGACGGCTGACAACGCCGACGCTGGCGTGAAGGAGGAGGCTGAGAGCGCCATTGTCGACGTGGAGTGCGATTGCGACGCCGAGAGCCGCCTGCCGCACATGGTGACCGTGCGCGAGAAAAAGCGCAGCAAAGTATTCGGGGAGTGGGTCTTGCCTGCGAAGACGGACCACTGTTGCTGGGCTGCGTTTGAGCACGATGGTTCAAACCGTAAGCGCCTGGCCATCTGCCCCCAGGAGTTGTGCGAGATCTTGAAGTACAGTCCAAGCCCGAACAAGAAGAGCAACGGCGTGCTCCACTCAGCGACCAGGAAGGATGGGGCGACCACGCGCGAGGTGATGAAGTCCGAGCTGAAGGACAAGAAGCACGGGAAGGAGTTCAAGGACGGCGAGGGGAAGGAGACTGACGCGGAGACGTGGGCAACCTACCAGGTGTTCGAGACCACCGTCGACGACAACGGCAAGAAGACGCGCGCCCAGAAGACCCAAGTCCACTCGAAGCTGTTCGCGAAGGCCTCAGGAGATGATGAGGTTGGAAGGGCAGGTGCCTTAAGCGCGGCCGTGGAGCGCGCGGAGAAGCCGGCCCCTGCGAAGGAAATCATGACGAACAAGGAGATCGGTGCCGAGAAGGACAAGGCGTGCGGGGCCTACGCCCTCGACCACTTGACCACGGGCGCGGCCAAGATCACGGACAACATCGCTGACGGCGGCAAGGATGTCCTCACGCCGCAGAAGCTCCGTGCCCCCAAGGCGGTTCAGCCGAAGATCGAGCCGAATGTCAGCAGCGCCTCTGACGGCGCGGCTTCGAGCGCATCCTCTTCGCAACCTGCGCCCAGCAAGGGCAGCGACAGCAGCAGCAGCATGGCGATCGACATGTGGGGACACTTCTGACTTGGATCAGATCGGTGCCTCCCGCCATCCAGATTTCGCTACGCGTTTGAGGTGCACGTCGTGTCGCATCTGCGTGGGCTCTGGTTGTAGCACTGTCGCGCCAGTGCATGGGCTTGCCACTGCCCGCGCGTGCTTCGAGGGGGCCATTCGAGATGCGATTCGCCCCTGTGCACGTCTGCGCGCTCAGGGGAGGCGGGGGAAGTGCCGCACCAACACGAGACGGTCTGCATTGAATGCAGTGGGTTGGATTACCGACTTAACTGCTTGGGTTAACATGCATTCTTCCGAGTGCACTTCGCAAGGCGAATGATTGGCTGGCCAACGTTCGAGCGCCGTCGGGCTCACAGAAAACAGAAACGTGCATATGCACACGGATCCGTGCACGTGCGTAGACAATGCATCGGCTGGCATGGCATAGCCTAGCATGCCAGGCAAGTGCGCCTCCATTGCATCGCATAGCATGAGCACTGGCAACTCATATCATAGCATCGCATACGATGTCATGCCATGCCATGACATACCATGGCGTCGCATAGCATAACATATAACCGTATACGTGGGCACGTGCGTACACCAACACATCCTAGCAGGTAAACATACAACTCGCACATCAAACAATGGCACATCTAATCACGTGGTACACGACACTTCAAGTACACTCATCATGTCATGGGCTCGCGCTGTCCAGTAAGTATACTAAGTCAGTGCACCAGATCACGCACGCTGGACGACACGGGCTCTCATGCACGCACCGCTTGGCACATCCTGACTAACCCGCTGCTCGTCTCCATCTTCTGCCCCCCCCCCCCCCGATGGCGCGAACGCTGCGGCGAACGCAGCTAATGCGTGGGGGGGGGGGGGGGGGGGGGGGGCGCGACATCACCAACTAGACGCTGCAATCCTGAGCACCATTGAAACGACCATCCCGCCCACTACCCACCCACGCTTTTCCCAGGAAACGACAACACTATTCCGTGTAAGGTTGGCTGTGCCCGGGCGTTGGGGCTGATTGAACCGATCGCGCAGGGTTACCTTGGCCCTCTAGACCTTGGGCATGTCGGCCCCCCTTCGCATTCGCGAGTATGGGGGGGGTCCTCGCCTTCGCGAGAAGCCAGATGGCGGGTGATGCGCAGCATGTGCCAGAGGCAGGCGGCGCCAGCGCGGCCGAGCCTCCCGCCGACGCACTCGCCCAGAGTGCGGCGGAAGGCCGCGATGGCGGAGGCCCCCTTGGCGTGGACTCGGGCAATGCTGGCGATGGCGCAGCTCGCGTGGCAGATGCGACGCCAGGACTCGCGGCGTCGATTGCCGCCCCTGCCTCGTGGGACCCAGCAGTCCCTACTGCCGGGGAGATGGAGTACACCAACGTGCTGAAGGATCTGGTCGGCACCGACGACGGCATCGATGCCAACGTCAATCACGACAAGCAGGACTCCATCGTGGATGCATTCGCCAATGCGATCACAGAGAATAAGTTCGACCTGCGCGGCCCCGTCGGATCCAAGTGGCACACGGCCAAGGCGAAGGACAAGCAGATGGCGGCTGACTACGAAGCGCTCAAGGCGAAAGGGCGAGATGCATGGACTGGTGCAGGCGCACCTTCAAGAGCATGAAGGAGGAGAGGTCCAAGACGACCGGGCTCGCGGAGATGGGCGAGATGGGCGGCGCGCGCATGCCCTTCTCGGTCATCGTTCGGGAAGAGGGGTGCGATGGCCCCGCCCTGCAGGCGGCGATGAACTACGTGGCGGAGTGCGTGAGACACTACAGGGTTGGCAAGGGCATCCAGACTCGTTCGTTCTTGTCCTACAACAGCTGGACGAAATGGGTGGAGTTCTTGCGCATCAAGAAACGGTTTGGGCAGACCTTCGCCAAGAAGTGGGCGGAGAAGATTGTTGAGGCTGATCCGTCTCGCGAGGCGGAGGTGCTCGCGGTCGTGGGCGCTGAGTCCGAGGTCGGCGCGATCCCGTCTAGGGTTGCCCAGCTCGCCAAGCAGGGCCAGGGGCAGAAGGGCGGTGGGACTGCGTCGGCGACAGTGGCCGCTGCCGGCAGCGGTGCAAGCACTGCCGCGGCCGAAGGCGTGACCGTCACGGGGGTCGCGACCACCGCGGCGCCGAAGGACAATTCGGAGAAGCGCCAGGGCGGCGGCAAAGGCGAGAGCGGCAAGAGCGACAATAATCCGAAGCTGTCTGAGAAGGATGGCGAGGGACCTGGCGTTGATGGTGAGGGCCAGCCTGCCAAGGGCGAAGTTGCAGAGAATCTGAAGCAGTTGAAGCCGCTGAAGGACAGGCTCGGCCAGGCCACATCCCGTTGCACAGACTTCCTGCGGGCCGCGACGGAGAACCCCAAGTACGAGTGGGCGAACAGCGAGTTCCAGCTCAAGCAGTTGCGGAGCGCCCGCGCGAAGCTCGACTCGATAGAAGCCAGCTCCGCCTTCTGGAACGACTGGGTCATGGACGACGACTTCCTCAAGTGGTTTTGGAAGGCCTACGCCAAGTCGACCATCGAGGTCGAGCTCGGGAGAAAGGGGGCCACGGCCGCGGCGGTCAAGGCATTGGAGCATGAAGTGTCGACGCTGAACGATATGCACAATGCCCGCATGAAGCGGGAGGAGGCTGCATCGAGGGACTGAGTGCAGAGATCTAGCCGCCCAGTGCTGAGACAAGCGTGAGCCAGCCAGCCAGCAGAGCCACAGCGCTGACACAACAGAAACGCATAGAAATCAGACAGACCTAACGCACCCATGAATCTGAATTTCCATGAATCTGAAATTCCATGAATCATGAATCTGCGCATTTTGGTGGGGATATCACGGGCGAAACGCCCCCGTGAATCTCAACGTGAATTTGCATGAATCTGAATCGCCATGAATTTCATTGATTTTCGGGCGAGCCCAACAATTACTCCGACGGAAGGACCCCGCATGAGAATCCTCTGGGCGGGGAAACGCCCTCACAGACGAGGCTCCCGCTCGAGACTTCCTCCATATTCAAGTCTCAAGAGCCCAGAAGTGACGACAGTTGCACGTTGCGGGTGACCCGCTCGGATTCGAACATGAAGTGCGGGCCCCATAGGGAGGGGGCCCCCGCCTGAGACTTCCTCACAATTCACTCACAGACGAGGCTCCCGCCTGATACTTCCTCCATATTCAGGCTTCAAGAGCACACTATGAGTTGCACGTTGCGGGTGACCCGCTCGGATTCGAACATGAAGTGCGGGCCCCATAGGGAGGGGGCCCCCGCCTGAGACTTCCTCACAATTCACTCACAGACGAGGCTCCCGCCTGATACTTCCTCCATATTCAGGCTTCAAGAGCACAAAAGTGACGACAGTTGCACGTTGCGGATGACCCGCTCGGATTCTAACATGAAGTGCGGGCCCCATAGGGAGGGCCCCCCCGCCTGAGACTTCCTTGCAATTCACTCACAGACGAGGCTCCCGCTCGAGACTTCCTCCACATTCAGGTCTCAAGAGCATTAAAAGTGACGACAGTCGCACGTTGCGGATGACCCGCTCAGATTCGAACATGAAGTGCTGGCCCCATAGGGAGGGGGCCCCCCGCCTGAGACTTCTTCACAATTCACTCACAGACGAGGCCCCCGCTCGAGACTTCCTCCATATTCAAGTCTCAAGAGCCCAAAAGTGACGACAGTTGCGCGTTGCGGATGACCCGCTCGGATTCGAACATGAAGTGCGGGCCCCATCGGGAGGGGGTTCCCGCCTGAGACTTCCTCACAATTCACTCACAGACGAGGCTCCCGCCTGATACTTCCTCCATATTCATGCCTCAAGAGCCCAAAAGTGACGACAGTTACACGTTGCGGATGACACGCTCGGATTCAAACATGATGCGCGGGCCCCATATGGAGGGGGCTCCCGCCTGAGACTTCCTCGCAATTCACTCTCAGACGAGGCTCCCGCTCGAGACTTCCTCAATATTCAGGTCTCAAGAGCCCAAAAGTGACGACAGTTGCACGTTGCGGATGACCCGTTCGGATTCGAACATGAAGCGCTGGCCCCATAGGGAGGGGGCTCGCGCCTGAGACTTCCTCACAATTCACTCACAGACGAGGCTCCCGCCCTAGACTTCCTCCATATTCAGGCCTCAAGAGCCCAAAAGTGACGACAGTTACACGTTGCGGATGACCCGCTCGGATTCAAACATGAAGTGTGGGTCCCATAGGGAGGGGGCTCCCGCCTGAGACTTCCTCACAATGCACTCACAGACGAGGCTCCCGCTCGAGACTTCCTCCATATTCAAGTCTCAAGAGCCCAAAAGTGACGACAGTTGCACGTTGTGGATGACCCGCTCGGATTCGAACATGAAGTGCGGGCCCCATAGGGAGGGGGCTCCCGCTTGAGACTTCCTCACAATTCACTCACAGACGAGGCTCCCGCCTGATACTTCCTCCATATCCAGGCCTCAAGTCAGCGAGTAGTGATGATGATGATGATGATGATGATGATGATGATGATGATGATGATGATGATCGTTCGATGCCGATGATGGTGAGTGATCGCGGGATGGTGATGGTGATGCTGATGGTGATGATGATGATGATGATGATGAGTGGGGGGTGATGGTGATGGTGATGATGATGCGGAGGAGGAAGGAAAGAGGAGCAGAGGAGAGGGAGGAGGAGGAGGAGAGATCCTGCGCGGAGGGTGTGCAGAGAAAACAAGAACCCCACTAAGGATGTGGGGAAAAAGTGGCGACAGTTACACGTTGCGGGTGACCCGCTCGGATTCAAACTTGAAGTGCGGGCCCCATGGGGAGGGGGCACCCGCCTGAGATTTCCCCACAATTCACTCACAGACGAGGCCCCCGCCGGATACTTCCTCCATATTCAGGCATCAAGAGCCCAAAAGTGACGACAGCTACGCGTTGCGGATGACCCGCTCGGATTCAAACATGAAGTGCGGGCCCCATAGGGAGGGGGCTCCCGCCTGAGACTTCCTCGCAATTCACTCACAAACGAGGCTCCCGCTCTAGACTTTCTCCACATTCAGGTCTCAAGAGCCCAAAAGTGACGACAGTTGCACGTTGCGGATGACCCGCTCGGATTCGAACATGAAGTGCGGGCCCCATAGGGAGGGGGCTCCCGCCTGAGACTTCCTCACAATTCACTCACAGACGAGGCTCCCGCCTGATGCCCCCTCCATATTCAGGCCTCACGAGCCCAAAAGTGACGACAATTACACGTTGCGGATGGCCCGCTCGGATTCAAACATGAAGTGCGGGCCACATAGGGATGGGGGCCCCCGCCTAAGACTTTCTCGCAATTCACTCACAGACGAGGCCCCCGCTCGAGATTTCCTCCATATTCAGGTCTCAAGAGCCCAAAAGTGACGACAGTTGCGCGTTGCGGATGACCCGTTCGGATTCGAACATGAAGTGCGGGCCCCATAGGGGGGGGGCCCGCCTGAGACTTCTTCGCAATTCACTCACAGACGAGGCCCCCGCCTGATACTTCCTCCATATTCAGGCCTCAAGTCAGCGAGTAGTGATGATGATGATGATGATGATGATGATGATGATGATGATGGCGATGATGATCGTTCGATGCCGATGATGGTGAGTAATCGCGGGATGGTGATGGTGATGCTGATGGTGATGATGATGATGAGTGGGGAGTGCTGGTGATGGTGACGAAGATGCGGAGGAGGAAGCAAAGAGGAGCAGAGGACAGGGGGGGGGGGAGGAGGAGAGATCCTGCGCGGAGGGTGTACAGAGAAAACAAGAACCCCACTTAGGCCATGGGGAAAAAGTGACGACAGTTACACGTTGCGGACGACCCGCTCGGATTCAAACATGAAGTGCTGGCTCCATAGGGAGGGGGCCCCCGCTTGAGACTTCCTCGCAATTCACTCACAGACGAGGCTCCCGCTCGAGACCTCCCCCATATTCAGGTCTCAAGAGCCCAAAAGTGACGACAGTTGCACGTTGCGGATGGCCCGCTCGGATTCGAACATGAAGTGCGGGCCCCATAGGGAGGGGGCTCCCGCCTGAGACTTCCTCAACATTCACTCGCAGACGAGGCCCCCGCCTGATACTTCCTCCATATTCAGGCCTCAAGTCAGCGAGTAGTGATGATGATGATGATCGTTAAGTGCCGATGATGGTGAGTGATCGTGGGGTGGTGATGGCGATGCGGATGGTGAGGATGATGATGATGATGAGTGGGGAGTGATGGTGATGGTGATGAAGATGCGGAGGAGGAAGCAAAGAGGAGCAGAGGAGAGGGAGGAGGAGGAGGAGGAGGAGGAGATCCTGCGCGGAGGGTGTGCAGAGATAACAAGAACCCCACTTAGGACGTGGGGAATGACACAAGAAAATGAGAGAGAGAGAGAGAGAGAGAGAGAGAGAGAGAGAGAGATATAACGGGAGTGGCGAAGGCACGCCAGTCACGAGGTCTGAGCTGGAAGATTCGTGCCGTGCTGCGCCGTTAGCCCTCGCAGTCGCATCTGCCCCTTCCCCCACCCCCCCCCCCCCACGCCCGCCCCTTCCCCCTCTTCCCCCTTCCCCCTTCCCCACCCCCCCCCCCCACCCCCCCCCCTCCATCCCATCATCCTCAGCACCTTTGAAAGCGCCACCCAAAAGCACACCGCGCAGACGGAACCAGCGCATGAAACTCGCAAGAAAAAAAGGAAAAGCTGCTGAGACAAGGATGAGGAGGAGAGGAGGAGGAGGACTCGGCTATCCTGATCGCCGTCGGGCTGCCACGGCCCGCCTATTTGCCGAAGACGACGGGAGGGGGGGGGGCGGGGGAGGGGGGGGGGGGCGTTAGTTGCCCCTGAGCCCCAATGACTGCCCAGAAGAATTATTCCAGTGCGCCCCCAAAAACGGGACTTCCGCAAAAACGCAATTCGGGACGCACTCCTCCTCCCTCCATCCTCCTCCTCCTCCACCTCCTCCTCCTCCTCCTCCCCCTCGCGCTCCCCCGCGTCGGCCCTCCCCCTCGCTCGCCCCCGCCCGCTTTTCTTTCCCGTTATCTTGAAACGCGAGTTTGGGCCAACCTGGTGTTGGGCCTTGACTCCCATTCCCCACTCGTCCTCATCACTCGTCCTTCTCGTTTCCTCATTCCTCCCCTCACTGCTCTTCCTCGCTCACCCTCCGCCTCTCTCTCTCTCTCTCTCTCTCTCTCTCTCTCTCTCTCTCTCACTCTCTCCACTCCTCTCCTCTCTCCTCGCCCTCTCTCTCTCTCTCCTCTCTCTCTCTTCTCCTCTCTCTCTCCCTCTCTCTCTCTCTCCTCTCTCTCTCTCTCTTTCTCTTTCTCTTTCTCTTTCTTCTCTTTCGCTTTCTCTTTCTCGATTCTCTGTCCTCTTTCTCTTTCTCTCTTTCTCTTTCTCTTTCTTTTTCTCTTTCTCTTTTTTTTCTCTCTCTCTCTCCTCTCTCTCTCTCTCCTCTCTCTCTCTCTCTCTCTCTCTCTCTCTCTCTCTCTCTCATCTCTCTCTCTCTCTCTGTCTCTCTCTCTCTCTCTCCTCTCTCTCTCACTCTCTCATCTCTCTCATCTCGTCTCTCTCTCTCTCTCTCTCTCTTCTCTTCTCTTCTCTTCTCTTCTTCTCTTCTCCTCTCTCTCTCTCTCCCTCTCTCTGAGAGGGCACGTGGAAGTTCACAGACTGTTTGCCCCG